TCTTTATCTCTTGAAATTTGTTTAGTTCCAACATTTTCACAACACCCACGCATAACACATACACAGACACACAAACACTAAAAATTTGTGGAGAATGGAAATTTCACTCAAATAAGGGAAGAAAAAAATTTTTTTCTTCCTTTCTCCCTATTGTTAAATTTAGGACCACCTTTATTTTGAATATCACAATTTTCCGTTTACTTTTTTATAAACGATATAATTTTCTTAATCATATGATGGACGGCATTTGCCCACCTCACACGTGGGTGAATTTTTTTTTTTTTTGTTTTTGTTTGTTATTAATACATGGGGAATTATTGATATTTTTTTCACGTTTCGCACGTCATAAGGTAAATAATATTCACACAACCTATCGTGTCGGGGGCCTGTGAGTAACTGACACTGTAGTTAGTGACAGAAGAGGGAAAAAGAGCTTTAGGTTGGCGCATGTGAGAAAGTGTGGGTGAATGAAAATAGAAATGTAAAAAGTACGTTATACACATCAGATGTTGAGAGAGATAAATTGATATAAATTTGTTAATTATTTTTACTTATTTTAGAGACAAGTCATTTAGATGGAAATTTTTTTTTTTTTTTTTTGGAGTATGAACAAATTTCTGGTCTTGAAAATAAATTCTACTACTTTAAGTCTCAAATTTTTTCAGAATTTAGAGAAAAGTAATTTTTTAATATGTATTTCTAGTTAAAACAAAAAATAATAAAATAAACAAAAAATAAAATTATCAAATTTTGAACGTCTCTATAATTGAATTTTATCTATGAAGTAACTATTTACTGATTAAAAAACTAATTGTATGTTGTTCATATTTCTCATTATCTTTGTTCCATTTGAATATTAGACGAATTTTTTGTAAATGAAAAAGTAATAAAATAAAAATAATAAAAATTTACCTTGTATATAAATAAATAAATAAATAAAATTTGTTCACTAATTTCATGTCAAAGTATTCTCATTAGATCATATTAGTTTTTGTTTTGAAAAAAACTTAAAAAACCATAAATTTTGGCATAATAGTTGACAAAAAAATGTTAAATTAAATTAATTTGAGCGTCTTTTAATCGAAGAAGAGTGAAATATAATTCCGAGGAATTTAGAGAGTAGACAATATATATATATATATATATATATATATATATATATATATATATATATATATATATATATATATATATATATATATATATATATATATATATATATATATATATATATATATATATATTGGCAGTTCTTTTTCCCCTTTTTCAATAAAAACACAATACATGAAAAAAATTGCAAAATAAGAAAGTTTCTAAATGATAATGAAGAAAAATATAAACTATATTGAAGGAAATTGATTTTTTATCCGAATTTAATTTGTTTTGAATGTTGACGGAAATGGAGAGAACATTTTCAAATGTGTATATAAGTATGTATTATATGTATATATGTATATATTATGCTTATAGTTTAAAGAACCTGTCTCTCTAGAAACTGAATATTACAACATCAAAAGATATATATCTAGTGAACACTGTTAGTATAGATTATGCGGAAATTCTTATATTACCAAGCGCGCGATGTCTTCGCGGTTTCACTTGGCTTATTTCTCTAAATTATTCGATATCAATTGATTCACATTCCAAAACGTCAGACAATAAGAGTCATTCAAATTAATTGAGAATAAATTGATCAGTGTATTCTTTATTGTTTATTTATTTTTTCATTTATTTTTTTATAGGTATTATTTATTTGTTTAATTATTAAAAATAATCGACGAGGTTTGTTTTAATATTATGCGATTTAAAATAATATTCTCTAAATCTGAATTAATGAAAAGTTCACTAATTAAAATTAGTAACAATTTCTACTATAATTGTTACAGTAATTTTTGTACTAAAACTTGAGTTAAAAAAATTGAAACTACTTCAATAAAATAGTAAAATTTTACTAAGAATTAGTAGGAATTTTATAATTTAAAATTTAATGTAAAATCAAATTAAAGATTTAATTTAATATTTACTAATTTGAATTATTGGAGTATTTTTCTCTAATTGAGATTTAGAAAGAATTTTACCTTGAAAAGATTTATTTGTTCAAGTGTTTTAAAAGATTTTTTTCCGATATTGATTATATTGAATTATAAATTATTTTCTGTCGTCATTCAAATAATGATGATTTATTTTTATTCATTAACATATTTACTTTCAATTTCTCAATGAAGTGAGAAGTACGTTTTTTAAAATTTAAAACTCTAAACATTTTGTGTTATGAGACAAAAATTTGACAATATTAAAATTATCTAATTAATATTCAAAATTAATTGATTTTGAAACATTTGTGTCTTTTGGAATGAAACTGTGAATATATTTTAAAAATTAAGCAATAAAAATGAAATACATGATTGGAGAAAGCTGCGAGTTTATATTATGTGGGAAACAATTTTTAGAAATTAAAAATGAAAGCATTTTTGGCAATAGTTTTCGATGATCTGATTTGTTCGTTAGTTAAAAATAACAAATACGGTTTTGAAATAAGTATTTTTTCGAATCTATGACGTAAATATTGTGTATGAGTTCTTTTAAATATTTACTTGAGTCAATAATTTCAGTACTTGAAGCAAATATTATTTCATTTATTTAAGTATATTTTATTCAAGTAAATATTTATTTGACAATAGACAAATAAACGGTTATTTGAATCTGTTTGAAAAATATTTAAACAGAAAACACAATTTCGTTCAATTTAGGGAAATAAAATTTTTACTGATTTAGTAGTGAAGTAAATTTTTGTTTGTAAATAGTGAAGTAATTTTTTTTTTTTTGTAAAATAGATTTGAATATTAATTTTATTTAAGAGTTTGGTAAAATTTACTGCTTTTAATTGCAATTATAACATACGATTTTTCTAAGTTAAGAATCTTATGAATATTTAAGAGTAAGGTCAGTTACATTTTTTTTTTAAATATTTAATATCTCTTTCGTAATTGCCTTCAATAAAATTGGTTATTTTATGATAAAGAATATATATTTTATCGAGTAAACGATAAATGTATGTCTGCAAAATATAGATTAATTGACTGTTAAAAAGTGGGTCAATTTTATGGGAAAATAATTTGAATTCTTATTTTTTTCGTTCGATTAGTTTCGGTATTTATAGGGATTAAATTATAAATTTTAAATACAAATTTAAAGACAATAGAGTAGATAATAAAAAGTGATTTGACTATTTTTGATATTAGTGTATATTTCGTGTGAAACTGTTTGTTAACAATTTTCTAACGTATATTATATAATGTTTAATGAGTGTGTAGCGTAATACTAAACTGTGTCGGTTTATGTGCGTAACCAGTGAGACAACTACTTTATATCAGGGACGTGCATGTGTAGAATACTTTCAAAAAAGTAAACTAAACCTTGAATGAAGCAATAATCTTAATAATGAATACATTTCTGAAAAGGTTGATAATTTTTTTTTAAAATACAACCTTTTTTTTCTTCTTTTTGAATAAAGGAAACCTTTTTCTCTCTTTTTTTTAAACAATAAACCTTGATCGTATTGAATTTCAATTTTAAATATTATCGACAGTCTTTTCATATTTTATTATTTCGTATTTTACTGTTTGTAGAAGTGTATAAAAATTTAGATTAAAATTGGCATATAAATTTTTTAATAGTTTATTTAGTTTGCAATGTTTTATAGGAGAAATATTGAAATTATGAAAGTCGTTGGTTATGTAAGGTGATTTTTTTTGTTTAATTTTAAGCAAAAATGAGAATGTAATAATATTTGTATTTTTGATCTGTTATTATGTTTTATGTATCTAATTATTATTGGTAAATAATAAGAATTTTTTTATATTTTGGCAGTAAAATGTTAAATTCAATTTCTTTATGCGGTGGAGAATGTAATTATTTTTCATAATTTGTGTCATTGTTGTAGTGAAATAGAAAAGAAAAGTCTTATTTTTCAATATAGGTATACTTTTATTCATTTTCAAACACGCGAGACATAAACAAAAAAAAAATGAAGAAAAAATGGAAAAGAAATTGATGAGATAGTACTTGTAATGTACTCGAAAGACATTGTGACATAACTTGAAGTTATGTGAGTTACATGGTAAAAACAAATTCTTAATATTGTGTTTTGCGTATAACTAGGCTATTGTGTCACGGGACGTTTCATGATCAGAGATTTAATTCTCTTCTCTACGGATCATAAAACTGTAGTTGGTTTTCGCTTTTCTTATTTCGGAATATATGCATTAAATTGGCATTTTTATTTTTTGTTTGTTGTTATTATTATTAAATTAAATTAATTTAAATTTAAATTAATAATTATAATAATAAATAAATTATTTTTCTACGTAGAAAAAGGATTCTGTCGTTATTTCTAACTTGTAGTTATTGCTAAGTGAGATGGCTCAGTGGTAACAGTACTAGACTCGCGACAGAATGGGCCTGGGTTCGATTCTTCGCGACTGATAAATTTTTCCTGGGTTATAATTATTTAGAGAATGATAAAAATAGATATGGTTGTATTATAATTAATAATAATAAATAAATAAGCAAATAAAAAAATAAACAAATTAATTAAGAAGTAAAATAAATAAAATAATTAGTAGTTATTACTAACAAATAAACAAGTGAATAAATAAATAAGCAACTAAAATAGATAAATAAATAATCAAATGAATACAGAAATAAAATAATGAAACAGACAAATAAAATAAGTAAACAAAAATAAACAAACAAATAAATAAACAAGTAAATAAATAAGCAACTAAAATAGATAAAGAAATAAAATAATAAAACAGACAAATAAAATAAGTAATCAAAAGTAAACTAACAAATAAATAAAGAAACATAGAACTAAATAAATATTTTCAAATGTTTTGCTAAAATAATACATTATTGTAATTATATTCACATTATTGATGAGAGAAAACTAATTTCTCAGTATAAAACATGTTCTTTTAGATAATTTTGAATATACTTACAACATTCCAAACGGTGAGATACTTAAATTGGCCAGGGTCAAAATATTCGGTACTTCGTCTTAACATTGGTATATCGAGATGAAAAAATGCGTAATATGCCGTGAATACGTATATTCCGGACATCGCCATGTGGATTAAACAGTAGGTTGTAGAAGACATTTCTTTGATTCTCTGTAATAATTGCAAAAGAATTCTGAACAAAAGTGAAATCGGGTTATTTTGAAATCATTTTTTTTTAGAATTTTAATTTCAAGGCTAAATTGTAATTTACTATATTTATATATATATATATTGAGACAAAAGTTAATGTACACATTTCTTTTTTTTATGATAATATATATTCAAAACACATCGTACGGCAAAGAATGGCTTTTCAAAATTTATTATAAATTTCTTCTTCTTTTGTGTATGAAAATTTATTTGTTTTTTTTATTTTATAATTTATAAACGTACATTTGTAATATTTTATTTATTTAAAGTAAAAGTTTAAAATTTATTCAATTAAAGTAAAAGTTTAAAATTTATTCATTTAAAATAAAAGTTTAAAATTTATTCATTTAAAGGAAAAGTTAAAAATTTTATTTATTTAAACTGTAATATTTATAATTGAGAAAAATTTATAATCCTAAAAAATAATAATAATAATAACTTTAGAATTAATTATTCTTTTTAAATAAAGCAAAGTATGGTTTGTAGTTTTTTTGTTATTAATTTTATTGTTTTAATGAAATGAGAAATTTTTAATTTAAAAATTCTGGTTTTTTAGAGGATATAGAAAATATGTTTTTGGTTTATGTAAGTTTTTAGTTGAAAATGAATTTTTATTGTAATATATAATTTACACAAGGGTAACATATATATATATATATATATATATGTATATGTATGAAACTTTGATTTTATAACCGAATGGAACCGGTTATGGAAATGTACATTTATTCTGTCTCAAGTTCAAGACTTCAAATAGTGCATTACTTCCAGACAGACGACTGACAGACTCACGTGACATGAAAATTTTAGATTTGCATTGAGAAACCTTTATTTATTCACGCGCTTTTCTAATTTCTTTATATTCGATGTTTAAATTTTGAATTATTTACAAAGGAGACGAATTTTTTTTCCTGGCAATTCAAAAATTTACTGAAAATTTAACTAAATTAATGAAAATTTTAAATGAATCAAAAGAATATAATATATAATTCTATATATAAATTATTATAATTAATTCTATATATTATATTTTATTGGGCTATTCGGCCTACGTACAATCAAGATAAAAATAAATTTACAAAAAACTTCGAAGTACCTATTATAAAAAAAATAATCAATTACTGAAATAATTGTATTAATTAATGTAATAATTAAATATATAATTTAATAAAAAAAAAAATTATACTAGCAGGAGAAAATAACAATGATATTAAAAAATTTGTAAAATAATCAAAAAATTTAAATTAATAATAATAATAATAATAATAATAATAATAAAAGATGCTAAAATATTGAGCATGAAAGGAAACATATGACGAAATAATCAAAGCAATAAAATAAATATGCAAAGCATATAAAATAATAAAAATCAAGAAAGCAATAAAATAAATGTATCCAACAATAAAAGAAACCATTTAATAAATCAAAAATCAATAAAATAATTAAAAAAAAGTGTAATTAAACAGGATATGATTGCCTTCAGTCATACAGAAATAACGTAAAACAAAGATATACGAGATGCTGTAAGAGGTTAAGGACATTTTTGATAAAAAAATGTGCTAATGACTATTGTCTGAGTGATAATTATATCACATTTTTTACATGACCTGCACCTCTAGATTGATTTCTCGATTTCGAATTATTAATAAACTAAAATGAAGATGTATTTTTTAAAAAATTTTCTGCCAATTTAACTTCTTCCTTTCTTTTATTTTTTTTTTTTTTTGTTGCGGTTACATTCAAAAATTTATGTGACAAATTATTATTATACCTATTCATAATTTGCTTATTGATTAGAGAAAAATAAACAAATGATATAATTTTTTCATTTCTTTTGAACCTAATCAGACATAAAATAGATTCATCATGATGAATTGAAGTTTTGATTATTATAGATTGATTCTTAAAGTTCAGAGTCTAATTTATAATTTTTATTTGTTCTTAACATAATGCTAATTATGATTGCATTTAATCACTTGATTGAAGACAAAATGTTCCATTATATGAATGTGATGAAAATGAGAATAATAAATTATGCGTGGTGATAATTTTCCTTATTTTACAACATTGATAATAAAATTATATTTTAAGAGACGTTTGGACTTAAGTTTGAATTAAAATTAGTAATTGATCAAGGGGTTTTTTACAAATCTCATAAATAATGAGAAGGTATTTTGAATAAAATTTGCGTTAAAAATTGTATTGACGACATTTTCTAAGAAATATATTTTACATACTGAAGAAAAAATTTATTTGTTTGAAATAAACGATCACTTGACTAATATCAAATGAATATTTATTTGTATTTAGTAATTGAATTTTTACAATGTATTTTAAATGATAATTTTTATTTTTGACAATTTTTATTTTAATCTTTTTTTAATAAATAAAATCTTTATTTAATAACTAAATTTAATGTTTAATTATTAATTAAAAGGACCTTTAAATATTTAGTAGAATATATTTTACTCATTTTAGAACATAATGTTTGTACAATATTTTTTAAATAATATTTTTGGTTACAAAAAATAAAGACCAATTTTAACACTATATTAAGACTAGTATTTTGCTAGTTATGCTATTTAGAAACTAATAAAATATTTGTTAGTATAGTTTTTGTATTAAATGAGATGAAAAAATAAAGGAAAAAAATTTGAAAAAGATATTGTTGTAGATATCGAATAATCAATTTATTGTCTATGGAAATTATGTTAATCGGCATGAATTGCATATTGTGAAGTACACGTGACTTACAATCAAAAAATATTGTAGAGAATCAATTTTTTTTTTCGAAATTAAAAATTCTCAATTATCAAGATTTAAAATTCTGTATTTAACTGAAAACAAATATTTATTTAGAAGGGGAAATTTTAAATAAATCCTTTGTTATTAAAATTATTAAATAATAGTTAATAAATAATCAAATAAAATTATATTCTATAGATAAATATTTTGAAAATTTTGTTTTTAGTACAGATGTGAAAGAAGTAAAATTTTATCAGTCGATAGAACGGGTAATAATGATGATCGAGCCCATGAACTTCACACACTGAATGTTAGATTGTAACTAATTAATAATTGCCAGACAGTACTGACTTAAAATCGTAACGATGACAATTTGATGATGTCATTTTGAATAGTATGGATCGTATTCTACATGCAGAGATACATAATTGATAGTTAATACATTTTTATGTTCCATTAAATGCATTTACGTGATGAATGTCTAATCGAATTTAAAAAAAAAATTATTTTCATTTGCAACATTTTTTAATTAAATTTTTTTTTAAATTAAAATTTTTAAAATTTAAGAAAAAACTTTTTTAATTAAATCAGAATTGTTTTAATTTAAAATTGTTTTAGTAATTAAATAAATAAATTTTTTTTAAATTAAAGTGAAATTTTCTCTAAAAATAATTCACTTTTAGTTGAAAAATATGAAGGTACTCGTTTTTTTTATTATCATAAACCAATATTGATTTATTTTCTCAACCTTTTTATCTCTCGTCAATTATTGAGAAATTGATATTTGATTTGTGCGCGAATTTTTCTTTTTCAAATTCAAATTATTTATTGACAATTGTTGTCGTACATATAATTATAATTAAAGTGTTTGATTTTTTCTTTAAAGTATATTTTTTTGTAATAATGGGAGGGTTGAAATAATATTGACCTGCGCTTTTGTAAAGCGCGCATACTCACTTGTCAGTTTTTTATTTCTGTGTAAACAAAAAAAAAAGAATGGCACACACGAAAAAATTGTTATTTGAATAAAAATTGAAATTCTCCCACAATACACGTTTTGTGTTGAATTATACTCTTTTGAAACTTAACACGAACTGACAAGTGGTAAAGATGTATACTCTTAACAGGATGCTTGCAGAAATTATTTTGTCTGCAGCGCCTCTTTGATAGTGAACAATATTAGTACTGCACAGTCATGATTTTCAATTCGCTGATAGCTTATCAGGATGTCTCTGTCTATCTGTGAATTCAAATTTATCTTAAAAAATGTTTCACTTGAAAAAAGGTCAATTTAGGTTAAATTGATGTACTCAATTTTTTTTTTTTTTGTAACTTTAAATCATTATATAATCGATTTTCGTTTAATTTAATTTATTTTAATTAAATATTTTATTTAAAAATATCAATGTATTTGAAAATCGATTTTTTTATTTTAGAGAAATAATTTGAATTTGCTTATGTTGCTTATATAGGGAATTTTATATTTTTTATTCGTTTTTTGATTAATTACTAATTAGTTTAGGTTTTTTAAATCTGGAAAAAGTATTATTTTGATAAGAAAGATTTTTATTTTGATTAGAAAATATTTTATTGTAGTAAGAAAACATTTTATAGTTAAAATAAAGTAAACTGGAAAAAATTTATTTGATTCAAATAACCGATTACTTGTCTATTATTAATTTATGTTTTACTTGAATCAAATAATTTTTATTTTAGTCAATTTATTTATTAATTTTATTTATTTACTTCAAATACTAAAATTCTTGGTTTAAATAAAATTTATTTGACTTGAATAAAATTTATTTGATTCAAGTAAAAATTTAATTGATAATAGACAAGTATATAATTATAGTAATTTGAATCAAATTCTTTTTCAGTGTATTTTGTTATAATAAGAAAAAATTTTCGACTGAAATAAAATATTTTTTTTTTAATAATAAAAATATTTTATTAATATAATTATGTAACTAAATTAAACAAAATTTTAATTGTGTTTTAAAACAATTATTTACTGACTAAAATTATTTGAAATTTTTGAAATATTTAATCGAGGTAGCAAAATTATTTTTGGATCAAACTAAAATTTTGTTTGTAACCAATATTTTTAATAAATTTGTAGAGAATAAATTTTTTCTTCGTAGAGGTTATTAACTGGGAATAAATAATGAATATTTTTCTGTTTTTCATACAAAGGAAAGTTTCATCTTTTAAACAGAAGAAAAAACTTAATGAAAATCTTGTGTAACATGCAGTAACATGTTTTCAAGTGATTTATTCAAACAGGCATAAAAAGTGGTTTTCAATTTACATTTTGCGTGTGACATATTTTTTCAGTCAATGTTCCACTAAATGTTTATGAAAAAATAATAAATAATACTCTGAAAAAAATATATTTGATTCAAGTAAACAATTGCTTGTTTATTATATCAAATGAATATTTGCTTGTATCAAATAATTTTTATTTGACTCAATTAAATTGTAATTACTTCAAAAACTGAAATTAGTGATTTAAATATGATTTATTTGAATTAAATAAAAATTATTTGAGTCAAATAAATTTTTTTTCAGTGTAAATAGTAATCAATTAAATATTTACTTAAATCTAATAATATTTATTGGAGTCAATTAAATGGTATTTGAACCAATAATTTCAGTATTTGAAGCAAATGCCATTTAATTGGCCCCAATAAATATTATTTGATTCAATTAATTATTTAATTGATAATAGTCAATTAATCGGTTATTTGAATCAAATAAATTTTTTTTTCAGTGTATCTATATAGATACACTGAAAAAAAATTTATTATTTATCCCTAAGAATCTTGGTTAACTTTTATTTATAATTATTTTATTTGTATTTGATAAATATTTATTTGTAATTACAAATACTGCAAATTATAATCGAACTCATTAATGCTTAATTTTTTATTATACAATAAATATTTTGAAGTGTTAAGATAAAATTTCAAAAAATAAAAAATTTAAATTTTTTGTGGAAAATAGAAATAGCGATTAATTTTATAAATTTTGATAAAATATATATACTTTATATAGATTAATCGATTCGTTTTCATGTCAGAAATGCAATTTTGACGAGAATCAATTAAAATTTCGATAAAAGAAAAAATTATTTTAAAAAATACAAAAATATCTTTTAAACAAAACAAGGTAATTTTTAGGAAAAATAAAATATTTTTAATTCCATTACAAATGATTTTTCAAGTTTTAAGGTTTATTTTTCTTAAATGTTTTTATTTTTCTAAATTCCAAATTTAGAAAGTTTTTTGAAAATGTTGAAAATGAATCTTGAAATTTATTCTTGAAAATTTGTGCATAAAATTTTTTTCTAAAAAATTAGTTTAAAATTGCGTTTTTACTAATTTTTATTTGAATGAACACCAAGGAACTCGTCGGAATGGAACGATTGTTCCATGTTCTCTAATTGGTGGACTGTTTTAGTTGCGGGAAAATAGAAACCTTTCATTGGTGGACAATTTTTTTTGAAATTGTTATTGTAAAAAATGTTTATTTTCAAAATTTATTTTAGGATTTATTTAGTGAATTCAATAAATTTAATAAATATTATAATAAATGTATAAAAATAATGGAAAAATAGAAATTATTTTATTTTTAAATATAATTGAATATGATCAATTTAATTTGCCGATAATTAATAATTAATTATCTAAATTATTAATGCAAAATTTAACAATATTATTGTAAATTTAGTAAATAATTAGAAAAATGTTTAGTTTGAAATGTTTATTATTATTTGTCGGTAAAATAGGTTTATATACTGTTTGTTGTTCATATATACATTTATAGGTTATGTTGTCATAATTGCACGTGGTGTTGCACTACTGTACAAGCATGTTATTGTTTTTTTAGTTTTATTGTTTGAAAAATGTCACGTGAACCGAAATTAACAAACACTGCTCCTAATTTTTGGAAACCAGCAAAGTCACAAAATCCCGTAAGTACAATGAAATATTCTTTTAGCTTGCAAATAAATCATAATTTCGACTCTTGTACAAACTAAGGTAAACAATCATATTTATTGAAATTATAAATAAGAATCTATTTTTATAATTTGGCGAATAAATTAAATAGATTAGTTAATAATTAATAAAAGGGAAATTTTGTTTTGTTCTTTTAAAAATCGTCTTGTATTATTTAAACTAAAATGTTTTATTTTATTTACAGTTACTACAAACTCTTGGCACTCCGCACGTAGAATCTTTTAATTATTTTCTAGAAGAAGGTCTTGCAACAGCTATAAATGAAATTTATCCCATTCAATTTAGCGTTGGCAGTGGAGATAAAATAAAACTCTGGATTGAAAGTGCTCAAGTCAGAGAGCCATTAGTTCCGGAAGGTACATTGGGAGTAAAAAATCGCAGAATATTTCCAACAGAATGTCGACAACGAGGTTACACTTACAAAGGATTATTGACAGTGAAAATGGCATGGTCTGTCAATGGAAAAATCCAACCATCCATAGACAAAGATTTAGGAGAAATCCCGATAATGGTTAAGGTATTAGGACAATTTATAGTAATTTATAAAAAAATAGTTGAATTTATAAATTTTACAGGACTCGAATTTTAGAGAAATTAGATATGATTGCAGAAATTCAATTATGTTCAACTCTAATCGAGATTTTTTAATTTCAGTCGAATAAATGCCATCTGAATGGAATGAATCCTACACAATTGGTAGCGCACAAGGAACACGAGGAAGAATGGGGTGGTTATTTTGTTATAAAAGGACATGAAAAACTGATAAGAATGTTATTAATGACCAGAAGAAATTATCCCATTGCCGTTAAAAGATCTGGTTGGAAGCAACGTGGAAGTTTATTTAGTGATCTCGGTATTTACATAAGATGCGTTCGCGACGACAATACTGCAGTGGTAATTTTTTAAAAATAGTAATTTATAAATACCAGTTTTTATTTATAATTAATATTTTTAATTTATCCAGGACTAAAGAAAATTTAAATTTTGCATACATTAAATTTGTTTGTAAATGGAATTTACTTTAAATTTACATTTATAAATTAGAATTAGGAACTATTTTCAAAGTACATTTATAAATTAGTATACTAAAAAAGTAAAAAAAAATTAGTATAAGGAAATAGATAATAATTATTAATTACAAATAAAATTTTTAATTTTTGATTCTATTTCCAGACGAATACGCTGCACTATGTTACAGACGGAACGGTTAAATTGGCCTTTTCACATAGAAAATACATGTATTACATACCATTGTTATTAATTCTAAAATGTCTCATGGACGTACCGGATATTTACATTTATAAAGCTTTAATTGCTGGTTGTGAAGATGATAAACAATATCACGGTTACATTGCAAATATGATGCGAGCAGTCAAAGAAGATGGTTTAATTACTCACGATCAATGTAAAGCTTACATAGGAAAATTATGTAGAGTCAAATTTTACGAAATACCAGCCGATGCAAAAGATTCCGAAGTCTGTGATTTTATAATTAAGTAAGTTTAGAAATTTCTTTCATTTATTCTCTTCTCTGAAAATAATCGTTTACTTTTCTTAACAATAAAATGTATTTTTAATTAAAATTCATATTCAAATCGAAATTTATATCTAAATGAAAATTTATATTTTAGATACTGTATAGGAATTCATCTCGACGATCCAGTAGATAAATTTCAATTGCTCGTTCACATGACAAAAAAATTATTTGCAGCTTGCCAGGATAAATGTGTAATTGAAGGTGTCGATGCAGTTATGATGCAGGAATGTTTATTGGGCGGTCATTTATATTTGCAAATTATTAAAGAGAAAATTTCTACATGGCTCAATAATGTGAGATTTGCCATTTTGAAACGTGCCAAGACAATTAATAATTACACCATAAAATCCCGTGAGTGAATATTACAGTATTTTATTTTTTGAAACTTGCTCAGCATTGTTTTTTTTATTTAAATAATTGAATTTTTGTCAATCTTTCTGATAAGAATTTCAGTTAAAATTTTAGAAAATAATTGAATACTAGAAGCTTTATAGTAAAAATTCTTATAAACAAATAATTAAATTTCTCTTCTCTGTCCATAGTGGATGTCGTAAATGCAATGAAACATTCCGGTTCAGTGGAAAATGCCATGGGAAATTTTATGGCGACAGGAAACATACGAACCGATAGCGGTTTGGGTCTTATGCAAACATCAGGTTTAACAATTGTAGCTGAAAATATTAACAGAATGCGATACATGAGTCATTTTCGAGCAATTCACAGAGGTTCTTTTTTCACCGAAATGAGAACAACGGAACATCGAAAATTGCTTCCGGACGCTTGGGGTAAATAATTTTGAATTATTATTTACATCTTTAAATTCATTTATTTTGTTTATTTCTCACATTTTTTACATTTTATACATTTTTTACAATTTTAATTTTTTCCACAGGATTTATTTGTCCAGTCCATACACCCGATGGAACGCCATGCGGACTCCTGAATCACTTGACAATGAGTTGTATTATAACGAAACATCCGGATCAAAAATTGAAGGAAGCAATTCCCGATTTTTTACTGGACCTAGGAATGTTACCACTATCAAGAGCTGACGATTGGAAAAATTCCCATTCTATAATGCACACAATTATGTTGGATGGAAAAATAATTGGCTTGATTGAGGATAAAATTGTTGCGCGTGTTGTTGATAAACTTCGTGTTCTTAAGATTAATAGTAAAATTCCTCCAACAACGGAAATTGTTTTGGTTCTCAAGAAAAATGTTCCGGCACAATATCCTGGATTGTATTTATTTACGGGACCAACAAGAATGATGAGACCGGTTCAAAATTTATCGGTGAAGAAAATTGAGCTCATTGGAACATTCGAGCAAGTTTATTTGGATATTTGTATTAAACCAGACGAAGCTCACGAGGGGGTGAGACATTATTTCTTTAAATATTTATGATCATAAATAAAACAATACTAAATAATTGTTTTAGTAATTTACATATTTACTAAATAATAATTTTAGTAATTTCCTTATTTACTAAATTATTATTTTTAATATTAAAAAATTTATTCACAGTTAACAACTCATCAGGAATTATCGAAAACTTCCTTCTTAAGCAATTTGGCTTGTTTAATTCCAATGCCTGACAATAATCAAAGTCCCAGGAATATGTATCAATGTCAGGTAATTAAATATTTTTCCCATTAAATATTTTATTTATTGAAATTTTAAAAAATTCTCAGCAAATTAATTTTGTTTTTAAAAAATAGAAATGATATTAAATTTAATCATCTTAATTTGATTTTCGTCTTTTTTTATTTTCTAAAACTTGGATTTATTTCACAGATGGGAAAACAAACGATGGGTACCCCTTGTCATAATTGGCTTCAACAATCGGAAACCAAATTATACAGATTACAAACTCCAGCGACACCGTTATTTAGACCGACTCATCATGATGACATTGGATTAGATAATTTTGCTATGGGTACAAATGCAATTGTCGCCGTCATTTCTTACACAGTAAAATATTTATAATAATTGAATAATTATTATTACTTTTTTTTTCTTTAAAAATTTGGTATTTATTTCTATTTTTTTTTACAGGGTTACGATATGGAAGATGCTATGATAATAAATAAAGCTTCCTACGATAGAGGTTTTGCTCACGGAATGATTTACAAATCCGAATTTATTGATTTGAAAGAACAAAAGGACTATTTTGCACGTGATCCAAATAATAAAGACCTGGAGAAGATTTTAGATCCTGATGGTCTTCCAAATCCTGGGACTAAACTTGAGAAAGGAACCGTTTATTACTCGTAGGCATATTTTTTTTATTTAATTTATTTTTATATTTATTTTGTTCTTTATATTTTTGTTCTTCTTTATATTTATTTTGCTCTGTATATTTTTGTTCTTCTTATTAATTTTATTGTTTACATTAATTTTACTTTTTATTATCGCAGGTATTGGAATTCAGATCAGAACGAATATACGACGGGAAAATACAATGGTAAAGAAGAAGTTTACGTGGACAATGTTAAACTTTGCGGTACTTTGCACAGCCACATTCCAAGAAGAGCTTGTATTACTTATCGAGTTCCGGTTAGTATTTTTATTAATAAATAAAATTCTTTTAAATTATAATCATTTAATCGTATGAGATAATTTGAGGAGACAAATTATTTTCAGCGTAATCCGAGTATTGGGGATAAATTTGCATCACGAGCAGGACAAAAGGGAATTTGCTCTCAAATGTGGCCACAAGAGGATTTACCCGTTTCCGAAACGGGACTAGTTCCTGATATTATTTTTAATCCTCACGGATTTCCTAGTCGGATGACAATTGGTAGGTGTTTAAGAATTCCAATTTAAATTCGCGTGTGTTTTGAAAAGAAAAGTAAAAAGAAGTTTTGAAAAAGAAAATTAAACGTAAACTTTAAATAAATTAGATTAATTTATTTATATTTTAATCTATTATTAATAATTGCTTTCGAAACTTGATAAATAAAAATTGAAAGCTTGGAAGTTAAAATTCAAGTTAAACTATAAATAAATTAAAAATTGAAATCTTGGAAGTTAAAATTAAAATTAAAATTAAGCTATAAATAAATTAAAAATTGAGATCTTAAAAGTAAAAACACTTTCTTGTATCATTGAAGCTATGATGATTGAAGTAATGGCTGGAAAATCGGCATCGATTCATGGACTCGTACACGATGCAACACCATTTAGATATTCCGAGGAAGACACTGCCGTGGAATATTTTGGTAAACTTTTAGAAGCAGGTGGGTATAATTATTATGGAACCGAAAGAATGTACAGCGGTGTTACTGGAACAGAATTACAGGCAAGTATTTTCATGGGTGTCGTTCACTATCAACGACTTCGACACATGGTTTCGGATAAATGGCAGGTTTGTATTTTTAATTCAGAAACTAATTTTAATTTTTAAAAAATAAATAATCTGCAATGTATAATACTACGAAATATGTTTCTCAATTTAAGGTGAGAAGTACAGGTCCTATTGACGCTTTGACCAGACAACCAATTAAAGGACGAAGAAGAGGTGGAGGTGTGAGATTTGGAGAAATGGAACGAGATTCATTAATCTCTCACGCATGTCCTTTTCTTCTGCAAGATCGTCTCTTTCATTGTTCTGATGAAGCCACGGTACGAAATAGAATTAAATTGATGATACAATTTTTTAGTTAAATTATTAGTTAACATAAACAAAATCTAAAATTATCTCGAATCTTTGGTAAAAAATCCAAAATTATCAAAAATTATCAAAAATCCAAATTTCTTAAAATTCAACATTTTTTCCTCTCTTTTATGGGATTTAGCTTTATTATTTTTGTGCTTTTGGAAAATACTTTACTCATTTAATAGTCTCGACTCTTTGGTAAAAAATCCAAAATTATCAAATATTATCAAAAATTCAAAAATCCAAATTTCTTAAAATTCAACATTTTCTCCTCTTTTTTATGGCATTTGGCTTCACTATTTTTGTGCTTTTGGAAAATGCTTTACCTATTTAATAGTCTCGACTCTTTGGTAAAAAATAAAAAATTATAGAAAATTCTCAAAAATTCAAAAATCCGAATTTCTTAAAATTCAACATTTTCTTCTCTCTTTCATGGCGTTTGGCTTCACTATTTTTGTGCTTTTAAAAAATACTTTACTCATTCAATAGTCTCGACCCTTTGGTGAAAAATCCAAAATTATAAAAAATTATCAAAAATTAAAAAATCCAAATTTCTTAAAATTCAACATTTTTTCCTCTCTTTTATGGGATTTAGCTTTATTATTTTTGTGCTTTTAGAAAATACTTTACCTATTTAATAGTCTCGATTCTTTGGTAAAAAATCCAAAATTATAGAAAATTCTCAAAAATTAAAAAATCCGAATTTCTTAAAATTCAACATTTTTTCCTCTCTTTTATGGCATTTAGCTTTATTATTTTTGTGCTTTTGGAAAATACTTTACTCATTTAATAGTCTCGACTCTTTGGTAAAGAATCCAAAATTATCAAAAATTATCAAAAATTCAAAAATCCAAATTTTTTAAAATTCAACATTTTTTCCTCTCTTTTATGGGATTTAGCTTTATTATTTTTGTGCTTTTGGAAAAAACTTTACTCATTTAATAGTCTCGACTCTTTGGTAAAAAAATCCAAAATTATCGAAAATTATCAAAAATTCAAAAATCTGAATTTCTTAAAATTCACCATTTTCTCTCCTCTTTCATGGCGTTTGGCTTCACTATTTTTGTGCTTTTTAAAAATACTTTACTCATTCAATAGTCTCGACTCTTTGGTAAAAAATCCAAAATTATCGAAAATTATCAAAAATTCAAAAATCTGAATTTCTTAAAATTCAACATTTTTTCCTCTCTTTTATGGGATTTAGCTTTATTATTTTTGTGCTTTTGTAAAAAACTTTACTTATTTAATAGTCTCGACTCTTTGGTAAAAAATCCAAAATTATCAAAAATTATCAAAAATTCAAAAATCCAAATTTCTTAAAATTCAACATTTTTTCCTCCCTTTCATGGCATTTGGCTTCACTATTTTTGTGCTTTTGGAAAATGCTTTACCTATTTAATAGTCTCGACTCATTGGTAAAAAATAAAAAATTATAGAAAATTCTCAAAAATTCAAAAATCCGAATTTCTTAAAATTCAACATTTTCTTCTCTCTTTCATGGCGTTTGGCTTCACTATTTTTGTGCTTTTGAAAAATACTTTACTCATTCAATAGTCTCGACTCTTTGGTAAAAAATCCAAAATTATAAAAAATTATAAAAAATTAAAAAATCCAAATTTCTTAAAATTCAACATTTTTTCCTCTCTTTTATGGGATTTAGCTTTATTATTTTTGTGCTTTTGGAAAATACTTTACCTATTTAATAGTCTCGACTCTTTGGTAAAAAATCCAAAATTATCAAAAATTATCAAAAATTCAAAAATCCAAATTTCTTAAAATTCAACATTTTTTCCTCCCTTTCATGGCATTTGGCTTCACTATTTTTGTGCTTTTGGAAAATGCTTTACCTATTTAATAGTCTCGACTCTTTGGTAAAAAATCCAAAATTATAGAAAATTCTCAAAAATTCAAAAATCCGAATTTCTTAAAATTCAACATTTTCTTCTCTCTTTCATGGCGTTTGGCTTCACTATTTTTGTGCTTTTGAAAAATACTTTACTCATTCAATAGTCTCGACTCTTTGGTAAAAAATCCAAAATTATAAAAAATTATAAAAAATTCAAAAATCCAAATTTCTTAAAATTCAACATTTTTTCCTCCCTTTCATGGCATTTGGCTTTACTATTTTTGTGCTTTTGGAAAATGCTTTACCTATTTAATAGTCTCGACTCATTGGTAAAAAATAAAAAATTATAGAAAATTCTCAAAAATTCAAAAATCCGAATTTCTTAAAATTCAACATTTTCTTCTCTCTTTCATGGCGTTTGGCTTCACTATTTTTGTGCTTTTGAAAAATACTTTACTCATTCAATAGTCTCGACTCTTTGGTAATAAATCCAAAATTATAAAAAATTATAAAAAATTAAAAAATCCAAATTTCTTAAAATTCAACATTTTTTCCTCTCTTTTATGGGATTTAGCTTTATTATTTTTGTGCTTTTGGAAAATACTTTACCTATTTAATAGTCTCGACTCTTTGGTAAAAAATCCAAAATTATCAAAAATTCAAAAATCCAAATTTCTTAAAATTCAACATTTTTTCCTCCCTTTCATGGCATTTGGCTTCACTATTTTTGTGCTTTTGGAAAATGCTTTACCTATTTAATAGTCTCGACTCTTTGGTAAAAAATCCAAAATTATAGAAAATTCTCAAAAATTCAAAAATCCGAATTTCTTAAAATTCAACATTTTCTTCTCTCTTTCATGGCGTTTGGCTTCACTATTTTTGTGCTTTTGAAAAATACTTTACTCATTCAATAGTCTCGACTCTTTGGTAAAAAATCCAAAATTATAAAAAATTATAAAAAATTCAAAAATCCAAATTTCTTAAAATTCAACATTTTTTCCTCCCTTTCATGGCATTTGGCTTTACTATTTTTGTGCTTTTGGAAAATGCTTTACCTATTTAATAGTCTCGACTCATTGGTAAAAAATAAAAAATTATAGAAAATTCTCAAAAATTCAAAAATCCGAATTTCTTAAAATTCAACATTTTCTTCTCTCTTTCATGGCGTTTGGCTTCACTATTTTTGTGCTTTTGAAAAATACTTTACTCATTCAATAGTCTCGACTCTTTGGTAAAAAATCCAAAATTATAAAAAATTATAAAAAATTAAAAAATCCAAATTTCTTAAAATTCAACATTTTTTCCTCTCTTTTATGGGATTTAGCTTTATTATTTTTGTGCTTTTGGAAAATACTTTACCTATTTAATAGTCTCGACTCTTTGGTAAAAAATCCAAAATTATCAAAAATTCAAAAATCCAAATTTCTTAAAATTCAACATTTTTTCCTCCCTTTCATGGCATTTGGCTTCACTATTTTTGTGCTTTTGGAAAATGCTTTACCTATTTAATAGTCTCGACTCTTTGGTAAAAAATCCAAAATTATAGAAAATTCTCAAAAATTCAAAAATCCGAATTTCTTAAAATTCAACATTTTCTTCTCTCTTTCATGGCGTTTGGCTTCACTATTTTTGTGCTTTTGAAAAATACTTTACTCATTCAATAGTCTCGACTCTTTGGTAAAAAATCCAAAATTATAAAAAATTATAAAAAATTCAAAAATCCAAATTTCTTAAAATTCAACATTTTTTCCTCTCTTTTATGGCATTTAGCTTTATTATTTTTGTGCTTTTGGAAAAAACTTTACTCATTTAATAGTCTCAACTCTTTGGTAAAAAAATCCAAAATTATCGAAAATTATCAAAAATTCAAAAATCTGAATTTCTTAAAATTCACCATTTTCTCTCCTCTTTCATGGCGTTTGGCTTCACTATTTTTGTGCTTTTTAAAAATACTTTACTCATTCAATAGTCTCGACTCTTTGGTAAAAAATCCAAAATTATCGAAAATTATCAAAAATTCAAAAATCTGAATTTCTTAAAATTCAACATTTTTTCCTCTCTTTTATGGGATTTAGCTTTATTATTTTTGTGCTTTTGGAAAATACTTTACTCATTTAATAGTCTCGACTCTTTGGTAAAAAATCCAAAATTATCAAATATTATCAAAAATTCAAAAATCCAAATTTCTTAAAATTCAACATTTTTTCCTCCCTTTCATGGCATATGGCTTTACTATTTTTGTGCTTTTGGAAAATGCTTTACCTATTTAATAGTCTCGACTCTTTGGTAAAAAATAAAAAATTATAGAAAATTCTCAAAAATTCAAAAATCCGAATTTCTTAAAATTCAACATTTTCTTCTCTCTTTCATGGCGTTTGGCTTCACTATTTTTGTGCTTTTGAAAAATACTTTACTCATTCAATAGTCTCGACTCTTTGGTAAAAAATCCAAAATTATAAAAAATTCAAAAATCCAAATTTCTTAAAATTCAACTTTTTTTCCTCTCTTTTATGGGATTTAGCTTTATTATTTTTGTGCTTTTGGAAAATACTTTACTCATTTAATAGTCTCGACTCTTTGGTAAAAAATCCAAAATTATCAAAAATTATCAAAAATTCAAAAATCCAAATTTCTTAAAATTCAACATTTTTTCTTCTCTTTCATGGCGTTTGGCTTCACTATTTTTGTGCTTTTGAAAAATACTTTACTCATTCAATAGTCTCGACTCTTTGGTAAAAAATCCAAAATTATAAAAAATTATAAAAAATTCAAAAATCCAAATTTCTTAAAATTCAACATTTTTTCCTCTCTTTTATGGGATTTAGCTTTATTATTTTTGTGCTTTTGGAAAATACTTTACTCATTTAATAGTCTTGACTCTTTGGTAAAAAATCCAAAATTATCAAAAATTATCAAAAATTCAAAAATCCAAATTTCTTAAAATTCAACATTTTTTCCTCTCTTTTATGGGATTTAGCTTTATTATTTTTGTGCTTTTGGAAAATACTTTACTCATTTAATAGTCTCGACTCTTTGGTAAAAAATCCAAAATTATCAAATATTATCAAAAATTCAAAAATCCAAATTTCTTAAAATTCAACATTTTTTCCTCCCTTTCATGGCATATGGCTTTACTATTTTTGTGCTTTTGGAAAATGCTTTACCTATTTAATAGTCTCGACTCTTTGGTAAAAAATAAAAAATTATAGAAAATTCTCAAAAATTCAAAAATCCGAATTTCTTAAAATTCAACATTTTCTTCTCTCTTTCATGGCGTTTGGCTTCACTATTTTTGTGCTTTTGAAAAATACTTTACTTATTCAATAGTCTCGACTCTTTGGTAAAAAATCCAAAATTATAAAAAATTATAAAAAATTCAAAAATCCAAATTTCTTAAAATTCAACTTTTTTTCCTCTCTTTTATGGGATTTAGCTTTATTATTTTTGTGCTTTTGGAAAATACTTTACTCATTTAATAGTCTCGACTCTTTGGTAAAAAATCCAAAATTATCAAAAATTATCAAAAATCCAAATTTCTTAAAATTCAACATTTTTTCTTCTCTTTTGTGGGATTTAGCTTCATTATTTTTGTGCTTTTGGAAAATGCTTTACCTATTTAATAGTCTCGACTCTTTGGTAAAAAATAAAAAATTATAGAAAATTCTCAAAAATTCAAAAATCCGAATTTCTTAAAATTCAACATTTTTTCCTCTCTTTTATGGGATTTAGCTTTATTATTTTTGTGCTTTTGGAAAATACTTTACTCATTTAATAGTCTCGACTCTTTGGTAAAAAATCCAAAATTATCAAAAATTATCAAAAATTCAAAAATCCAAATTTCTTAAAATTCAACATTTTTTCTTCTCTTTCATGGCGTTTGGCTTCACTATTTTTGTGCTTTTGAAAAATACTTTACTCATTCAATAGTCTCGACTCTTTGGTAAAAAATCCAAAATTATAAAAAATTATAAAAAATTCAAAAATCCAAATTTCTTAAAATTCAACATTTTGTCCTCTCTTTTATGGGATTTAGCTTTATTATTTTTGTGCTTTTGGAAAATACTTTACTCATTTAATAGTCTCGACTCTTTGGTAAAAAATCCAAAATTATCAAAAATTATCAAAAATTCAAAAATCCAAATTTCTTAAAATTCAACATTTTTTCTTCTCTTTTGTGGGATTTTGCTTCATTATTTTTGTGCTTTTGGAAAATGCTTTACCTATTTAATAGTCTCGACTCTTTGGTAAAAAATAAAAAATTATAGAAAATTCTCAAAATTTCAAAAATCCGAATTTCTTAAAATTCAACATTTTCTTCTCTCTTTCATGGCGTTTGGCTTTACTATTTTTGTGCTTTTGAAAAATACTTTACTCATTCAATAGTCTCGACTCTTTGGTAAAAAATAAAAAATTATAGAAAATTCTCAAAAATTCAAAAATCCGAATTTCTTAAAATTCAACATTTTTTCCTCCCTTTCATGGCATTTGGCTTCACTATTTTTGTGCTTTTGGAAAATGCTTTACCTATTTAATAGTCTCGACTCTTTGGTAAAAAATAAAAAATTATAGAAAATTCTCAAAAATTCAAAAATCCGAATTTCTTAAAATTCAACATTTTCTTCTCTCTTTCATGGCGTTTGGCTTCACTATTTTTGTGCTTTTGAAAAATACTTTACTCATTCAATAGTCTCGACTCTTTGGTAAAAAATCCAAAATTATCAAAAATTATCAAAAATTCAAAAATCCAAATTTCTTAAAATTCAACATTTTTCCTCTTTTTTATGGGATTTAGCTTTATTATTTTTGTGCTTTTGAAACATACTTTACTTATTTAATAGTCTCGACTCTTTGGTAAAAAATCTAAAATTATCGAAAATTATCAAAAATTAAATAAACCGAATTTCTTAAAAAAAAATTTTTTAATACGTCTTTTTTTAAATTTTATTGTAGAAAGGGATTCAATTTTGCATACAGACAGACAGACAGAAATTTTTTTTAACATCTTTCGAATTCCAATGTCTTAAATTGAAAAAATATATAAAAATTTTCAAGCTTGGAGCAATGTACAGACAGATGTCTGATTTTATTAATAATATAGATTGATAAAAATTACATTTATCGAATTCCAGATGTTGATTTGTCAACAATGTGGAACTTTGCTTGGTCCGGGAATGGAATTATCAGTAAGTAAAGCGGGAATTGGTGAGAGAAAAATTAGGTGCAGAATGTGTGACAATGATCATTCTTCTAAAGAAATTGATTTGCCCTACATCTTTCGCTATTTGGTTTACGAATTAGCATCGTGTAATATAAAGGTGAAACTCGACATTGAGGAAAAATAGAATTATAGATAAATACAATATTTAAAAAAAAAAAAATGCAAATCTAATAGACTTTATACATTTGTGTAATTTATGTAATAAAAAAATGAATTTTGAAAAAAAGGAATTCCAAAAATTACTTATTTTTATTATTATTATTATTATTTATTTGCTAATATTCAAGACTTTCAAGTTACAACAACAAATTAACAACATTATATTACAAATTTAGTTTACACATATCGCCACAAATTTATGATTATTAATTCTGTGTATTTACATGCATAATTACTATTTATTTTATTTCTTCTTTTTGGACAGAAAATTAAATTTACGATCAATACAACGAGATTAATCACGTAATTTTCTTTATAATATGGAATGTTAATACCTGATTTTTGTTTTTTTCCTTCCAAATTGATAAAATTTGTGTGATTCATTTTTAATGAAATTTGAATCGGAGAAGCGTGAATAGTTTCAATTACAGATTCATGGTGTATGTTTTAGTTAAAATTCTAACACGCGTAAAAACTTAATGGATTCTCTAAAATTCTAGACAAGCGTCAGGTAAGCTATTTTCGTTTTATAGTGAAAATTTTGGAAATAAATGATTATTTTATGCTTTAGCTGGAACTTGTGCACCTGATTTTGTTCCTTGCTGCGGTGTTCCTTGATCTTTCTCCAACTGCTTTCCTAAGTATTCCCTGTTGATGGAAAATTATAAGTATTAATTTTAATTTAATATTAAATTTTAATTTAATATTTTATTTAAGAAATTTTTACATTTCTATTATTCTTTTAAAAATATTTTCATTATCTTTCACTTACCAATTATGCACCATTAATTTCTGTACAGCCAATAAAGCTTCATATCGTACATTTGGATCCTCATGTCCAAGAAGTTGCATTACACGTTGCTTACCACCAAGTTGCTCAATAACGCTGGTGAAAAAAAATTATCAATTAAATTTTTAAGCAATTCAAAAATATGTAGTGAAAAAATAGAAAAATTTCTCACTGTTTTCCACGTGGATAGTGACGAACATATTCACCAATATCAAAACTTGCGACACTTAAAACTAGAGGATCTTTACTGGTCTCAAGTAAATGTACAAGAATACGAAGAAGCTCGTAATTTTTCTCATTCAAACGACCAGCATTCTCTCGCCAAAATTTGCCAGACTTGTGAACTGGTGACCATTCGAGACGACCAGATTTCACCTCTGTGGAATATTCATCAAATGAACTGAGATCCTGAACAGAAGCTTGTAATTTATCATTTAAGAAATCAATATCTCCGGTAATATCTTCATCGTCGAATTTTCGTTGACCCAAAATTGATAATTGTTTCAATACTTTACATTGGACCATTGCAATGCAATGTTCCTTGGCGACTTGTGCGTCTCCTACCTTTTCAATTAGGTTCTGAAAAAAAGCAAAAACAGTTAATTATGGGACAAATTACAAAATATTTTTTTTGTTTTTAAATAACAAGTTCAATTTCTCGATAATTTCAGATTTAAGATTTAGAAATTTTATATTAACTAATTAACAAATTAATTATTATTATTTATTATTTTTAAAAATTTTAATTCTTGATAATAATTCAATTATATTCGAAAATAATTAAATTCTCAAGAGGAATTCAATTGTTTAAAAAAATGTTAATAAAAGTTTGTAAAAGAATTCAATTATTCTTAAAAATTTGGTTAAATTTTGTATAATTCAATTATTTTCTTAATTAATAAATTTATTCGCGGGAATTTATCTTATAATTTTAATTTTAATATTAATAATTTGAAATTCTCAAATTTTTAACTTACTCTGAATACTGCGAGAATAATTCTCGTCACTTTTTCCTTTACAGAATCACTGAGAATGTCTGCCAAAATAGGAATAACATTGAATCTGAAAAAAGATTTTTTATTTTAAATCATTAAAATTTCTTTTTCAGTTTTTTTACCATAAAAAATATTGAGACAATTACTAATTAAAGAAAACCTACTTATTCATTTTCTCTGCCAGCAGAGGATTAAAGGTGAGCACCCAAAGGCAGAAAATAAGTTGATATTGCACTTGAAAATTGACACGGCCTGAAAGTACGCTCAATAATGTTGAAATACCATCGACGGAGACGAATGAAAATCTATATTCATCAATTCGCAGCATCATTTGAAGACATCTCGCCACAGATTGAATATAATCGTTATTCTAAATTCGAGAGAAAAAGAAAGCAAAAATAGTCATCTTTTTTCATTTACATTTTCTATTTATTTTTAATAAAACGAATGTTTATTGTTCTTATCTAATAATGTAGTTTTTTTTATAAAGAAATAGTAGAAACATTATGCATGCATGTTATCTGCATATTTTAATAAAGTACAGTCTATGTAAAATAAATCTAACATGCGCATCGCATTAATCTCCCTATTATTACTCGTTAATATATATAAGTAGCTAGTGCTTTCTCTGATTTAGAAAAAGTAATGGTGCATTTGATTTTAATTTGTAAAAGATCTTCTAAAATTACAGCTGATACCATAAAAAAAATTGTTAGCAATTTTTTTCCATGTTAATTAAAACCTAAATTAGTTTATTTACTTTTTTGTTTTTTACTTCTCTTTGTATTTTTTTCCTTCATTCTTTTTCCTTTTCTATTATTTTCTTCTGTTATTTTTATTTCTCCTATAATTTTTTTCTTTGAAATAGTAAAAAATATGTACTGAATACTATCAACAACAATTGTACTTAAGGTGTTATTTTTTTCCTTGAATTATTAAAATACTGGCAGAAAAATTGTACTTAACGTTATGGCGAAATTTTCTCTAAATGTTACAAAAAACCAACCGGATTGAGCAATTCATGTAGCTCATTGGCCTCCCCAGCCTCATTGGGGTTGTTGTCCTGCACTACCTCGGCATGCATGCTTCCCTCCTGAAGGGCATCGAACTAAAAAAACCCACTCGATGTGTCGTCCATTCGCGTTTTTCAATTATGTACATATTTTTCTATTTAATATTCTTTTTTTGTTTTTATATATATTATAAACCCACAACCTTGCCAATGAAAGCAACACTGATATTGCTGGATCGATAATACATGATTTAAGTTTCTATTTTAATATTCTCACTTTCGAATGTGCCTAGAAAACAAATACGAATTTGTTCTTTTTTTAAATCAGGGTTGCCACAAAAAATTACATTTGTTTTCCTCACTTTACCCTGATGGCGAGAAAATTTTTTTGACTTTTCCCCTGAACCTAAAGAATATTCTGATTCACTCTAAAATTCATTAGTAAGTAATAAAATTTTTCACATGAATTCAATTATTTAAAAAAGTGTAATAACATTCCTTGAGTAAGAATTCAATTATTTTCATGAATAATAAAATTTTTCGTAGGATTTCAATTATTTTTATTACAATTTTAAATAAATTCCTCGAAAAATGTAATTAATTTCAAAATTTTTTTTAAAAAATTCAATTACATTTTACAAATAATGAAATTTTTCGCTGAAATTCAAAATATTTCAAAATCTACTATTTTAATAAAATTTCTCAAAAGAATTCAATTTTTTTAAAGAAGATGTAATAAAATTCGTTGCAAGAATTCAATATTACTTTTATAAATAATAAAATTCTTCATAGGACTTCAATTATTTAAAACAAATGTAATAGAATTCGTTGCAAGAATTCAATTATTTAAGAGAAATGTAAAAAATTCGTTGCAAGAATTCAATTATTTTTCTAAATAATAAAATTCTTCACAGGATTTTAACTATTTTTTATACAATTTTAAGTAAATTCTCCGAAAAATGTAATTGTTTTCAAAAATTTTATTAAAATTCTTCAAAAGAAATCAATTATCAATTATTTTTAATAATTTTTGTAAAAGTTTTTTTGAGAATTTTCAATATTAAAAAATTCTACGAGAATTCAATTAATTAAATAAAAAAATAAATAGTATTAATTAATTGAATGTTTTTTAAAATTAAATTCTCACAAAGAATGTTATTAACAAATTTTTAAATAATTGAATTCTCTTGACGAATTTTAATAAAATTTTTAAGAATAATTACATTTTTCGAGGAATTTGATTTAAAATTGTCTTAAAAAAAATTGAAATTCTGCGATGAGTTTTATTATTTATGAAAATAATTGAGCTATTGCGAAGAAATTAATAAAAAATTTGTAAATAGTTGAATTCCTGTGAAATTTTTATTATTTATGGAAACAATTTAATGTTTGCTTAGAATTTTATCAAAATTTCTTTTAAATAATTTAATTCTTTTGAAATATTTTATTAAATTAATATTGAAAATCATTGAATTGAGAAAAATTTTATGAGAACAATTATGAAATTTATTTATTTAAAAAGAAATTATTGTCAATAATAGAAAAAATTGAAGGTTTTGTATTAGAAATCGTGGTAATTTTATAGTTTATGAGGCAAACAAAAATGATACCAAAATTCAGAATTTTCTTATGAATTCTAAAAATTATATTTTTTTGCAGTACTTTAATTAAAATTTCTGACTTTTCCCCGACCTGTGGCAACCCTGTAAATTGAAAAAAATTAATGAAACTTTCGCTCGAGAAATTTACAAAGCACCATTACCTATTGAGATTATGAGTTAGAGTTTGGATTTGTAACATTTTTGAATCATTTAATAACTTTTTTTATCGAGTTCTAATATTTTTTTCATTCAAAATCATTATATATTTTCTAAAAATAATTTTGGAGTAAATAATTTTTGCACTTTTTGAAAATTAAACCGATTTAAAAATGTTACAAATCATGTGTTAGAGTCTAGTGTCTAAATTCTACATTATGCCTAATACTCATGTTAGATTGTATCGTCAAAGCTTAGAAATATTCTAACTACGTGATGTCATTAATTGGTATAATTAAGAAATTAATAGTAGAATTTTTTGTTCGAATTTGTTAAACACATTTTAAGCGAAGAAGCATGCAGAGAAAAGCAAGTGTTTCTACAACTACATTTTAGAGTGAGATACAAAGAAAAAATTTAATATTTGTCTGAAACAAAACAGTAAGTTAATTTAACTGTGAAAAAAAAAGAAAAGAGAAATAAATTTTGAAATTCATAAATTCAATAGAATTTAGAAACTTGGAAGAAATAAATTTCTGGGACCATTCAAGTATTACTTTGAATAGTAATACTTTTTAATAGTATAAAAAAACTTACGCTCAATTTCAATTGATCTTTGAGCCACGTTAAATAAAATTGAAGATCAGTTTTCTCCATTAGCTCGTGACTCCAACAAGCGAGTTTCGCAATTATTCTCGATGTCATATTCATTATAAAACCATCAGGTCTATTTAGAAGATTTAAGAAAGGTCCCCAGACAGATTCACGTTTTCGATTTGAATGTTCACGGAAAATTTCAACACGACTGCGGTCTTCCTGTAAAAAAAATTATGGAGGTTTAGAAAAAGTTATTAAACAAATTTATTTTTTATCAATATACCTGTAGCATATCATCGATCATTATGAGAATATACTGAATAGTTTGATCCTTCGAAACATGACCAAGAAGATTTAAAAATGTCTTTGCTGCCTGACTTGGATTTTCTTTTAATTTTGCTTCCCTTGCTGCTGCGTCACTTGTGTCGAAAGTTGCTATAAAGTCGAAATCCTCCTTCAATATCATTTGAGATCTGGAAAAAATCAATTTATCAAACACTAAATATAAACTCATATCTTTATTTTTATTATTATTTACTTACTGGAGGTAAGATTGCCAATTAATTCGCTGACTTCTTATTTCTGCAGCCTGTTGTTGAAGAACACTCGTCGCTGCCAACATATCTAAGAAAATTTATTACAAAATTAACCCAGAAAATAATTAATTAACAAAAATATACAAATTAAAAGAATACTTAAATGAATTTCAATGTCAAACAAAAAATCAGAGAAAAACACTACAAGTCACGTTCGTGTTACGTCAAAATTGTCAATTTTTGGAACAATATTCAGGTTATGAATTTATAATGATGAACGTCAAATAAATTGGATAAACTTTAATCAAAATAATAACAATTTAAAAAGAATAGAATTAAAATCAAAGTAGAAATATTAACAAAATTGGGAGGGGCATAAAAGGCATGTGATTTTAGAAAAATTTCTCACCGATTTTCTCATCAGGCAGCTTAGGAATCATTTCCTTGATATTTGCTCGATCTGTCATTTTGGAAATAATTTAGATGTTAATTTTTGTAAAAATATTCGCCTTTTCAGGCGATTTTTCTCCCTTTTTTTCTCCAAATTATTTATAAATATCACTGTTTCTACTAAAGCTCAGCTGGTCGATCCAAGTCACGAGAATCACGAGACTATAATTTATTTGTACCAACTTAAATGCCTGTCAAAATAATAGTGACTTTCGCTAGGAAATTTTTTGATTTTCTATTGGTAGCAGTGATAGGACTACAGTTTAAAAATTTATTATTATTTTCATTTATTTGTTTCAGAAATGTAATTTTGATAGTCAATATTTATAGTCACTTTATTGACAATTTATTCTTAAAATGTATTACAATGTTAGAAATTATTTATTTGATTGATAATATTAAATATTTCTATTATTATAGGTTTTTAGAAGAAGATCATTTCAAATAATCCCTCGCACTTTCCACCAATTAGATTTTCTTACTGGCGCATGTGCAATGGAATTCGGTGGCGGCCATTTGCAATATTGGCAACTCTGCTTTCTACATTCAGTTGATCCGAGTTGATCGTAGTCGGTGCAGTGTATTAATTTTTACAAGTTTTTTCAAGTATTTTGTACTTATTTTAGTTAATTACCGACAAAATCTCGAAGATTCCTTTCTTATGGGTGAAGTACAATTCCAAATTATTAAAATATCCATTTTATTGTGTGTTAATCAGAGAATTGCATATTGCTCGACAAGTTGCCGTACCGGTACGCCATCTTGTTATATTTATACATTTTCCCACTTTTTATTGTGTTAATCATTAAATATTATGATAAAGATAAATAATTTGTAAAAAGTTTTGCAAATTTAGTTCAGTTGTGTCTAATATTAATGGTTGTAACTTGCTTGGTTCGCGGGTAAACTTTCAAGGTCAAAGTAATTCCAAGAATACAAACACAAGAGATTAAAGTTTCTAGTAATAATATAATTTCAATTAAAATTTACTCTTATTTCCTCAAATTCATATAAGTTGAAAAAATTATTGTTTAAATATTTTGTATAACAAGCAGGATAATTAATTTATTAACAATATTTAATACTATATTAAGCTTTAATAAAAATTCAACAAACAAAAATCTTTTGGCAACACTGACTTCGTGATGATAAAGTACAATGTTGGCTATTCTGCTTTTCTGTTGAAATATGTTCACAGTTGTTCGTTGTCAGTGCAGTGAGTTCAGATTCGCAAGTTTTTAGTAGTATTTTTTACTAATTTTAGTTAATCATAGTTAATTAACAGTAAAATCTGAAAGATTTCTTTGATATTGGTTATGTGTTACAAGTAAATCATTCAATTTTGTTGAATTATTTACTTTAATTGCTATTATTAGAGAATACATTATTTTCGACCGCTTGCTCTGCCGGTTTGTTTTTGTTCATCATAATTATGTATTTTAGTGTATTTTTCTATTGTTTATTGATTTTTCTAATTAATATTTGAATAAAATTAAAAATTTCGAAAGTTTTTTCTGAAAAATGTGTCAAGTTTTGTATAATATTTGAGGTTATAAATTATTCGTTTGGCGCGTTAACATTTAGCTATTAATGGGAGGGGGCCAATCAAAACAATACCAAGAATATAAATACAACTGAACAAAATTTCTACAGTAAGTCTTTACTTTCAACAAAATTGAAAATATTTTATAATAAATGTAAATTAAAAAATGTCAGTTTTGCCAAATTATTTTCAATTACAAAATATAAATTATATTTTTGATAATAAATATTTTTTTCAAGTTTAATAAAAATTAATAAAAAGTCTTTTGGGTGCACTGACTACGAAAAACTAAGTTTCGGCAGTTATTTACTGAAGAAAGTAATCCAAAAAATGTTTTTTTATTATTATCGATTTCGCGAGTGAAAATAGTGCAATAAATTAATGGATATTTTGAACTGTAAACACAGCAGCTATAAAAGGTAACATTTAATTATATTAACATGTTTAAATTTACTACCTTGTGGTTCTTATTATTTATATAATATTGATATACAATTTTTTAATTTTTGATTTTACCACAAAAAAACAAAAATTATTACTGCTTTGATATATATTTTAATGATTTATAAATCAGTTGTTTATTTCATGCCTGTTTATAATTATAAATAGTCATGAAATTAAATAGATTAGAAAACAAAAAATCTTTGAAACAATTCAATTATTTTCGTAAAATATAAAATTCTTCGAAGCAATTCAATTAGAAATTTTAAAAAAATTCTTCCCAAGAATTGAGGCCTTGGATCCAATAACTCGCCCGACGCTCGGAGGAACGCGCAACTGCCAGTCAGTGAGCAGTGAGCGCCTCTGGGCCACTCACTGCTACCCGGCTGGTATTAGCGCGTGCCTTCGAGCGTCGGGCGAGTTATTGGATCCAAGGCCTCAATTGAATTCTTTTCAAAAATAATATTTTTCACAGGAATTCAATTATTTAGAAAAAAATTTAATAAATAAAATTCTTCGTTAGATTTCAATTATTTCCAATTTCTTAACGAAATTTCTCGATGGAATTTAATTATTTTCAAAAAGTTTTAAGAAATTCTGAGAAATTCAATTATATTTAAAAAAATTTGAATAAAATTCTTCAGAAGAAATTATAGTTATTTTCATAAATAATAATATTTTTCTCCGGAATTTAATTCTTTAAAAAAAATTTTAATAAAATTTGTTGCAAGAATTCAATTATTTTCATAAATAACAAAACTTATGGAAGACTGTTGGTTGCGACTGCATAGTTTCAAGCGGCTACATATCATATCATTTTGGGTTTTATATTTACAAAAAGAAAAACAAGTTCTTTTTTCATAAAAAGAGTTTTATTTTCCAATGATAATTTTATTCTTATGTATAAAACTACTGGTTTTTTATTTTGCTGGAAAAGCCTTGTCCCCATCACAAAAAAATTTATTTAATATTTTTTTTATAGTCTTTTCACGAGTCTACTCTTGTTATTTTCGATTTCGTTAAAAAAAGGTGTGAAAAACTTTCATGGTGTTCGCATTTTTTTTTTTTTTAATAAGAAATACTATACGTGAATATCTATAACACTATGATATCGTTTTTTTAGTATTACACAGTTTTAATCTAATCGTTTATGTTTTCTTATCAATGTTTTTTTTAATATTTATAATCGCTATGGATGTATACATATATTTATATTTATATATATATTTTTTGTTTTTTTATATATATAATATGTATAAAATTGTCAGTACAGTCTGTTATAATATTAAGCTCTTCCTAATATCGAATAACTTCTTTTTTTTTATACAAGTGTCGCCTAAATATTGTCATTCTTGGCAAATTATTAACGCCACATTTATATTGCATTTAAACAAAGTTGTTTGGAGCACGTTGCCCTTTGTATAATTTACAATCTCTCGCGTACTTTCAAAATGATGTACAAAAAAAGTTTATTTAAAAATTTTTTTTTTTATTTTAATAACAATATCCTCTTGGCGAAAATGGGAGAAGAAAAAAACACTGAAACTGGCAAGACTATTAACCATTCTCTATTTTTCAAGTTCTGAAGTTAACATGAACATTTTTTGATTTTTTAATATTTTCGAAATTTATTTTTTTGATTTGAATATCTTACAGCTTTTTTGTTTATTGGTTTAGTAAATATTTTGAAAAATTTGGTGTAAATTTACAGTTGATGAATTACTTTTTTTGCATTTTTTTTCTAAATCATAAGTTTGAGGACGTTTTTTTTATCACCTTAGTTCGATAAATAAAATTTCTAACATTCTTAGTTTGTATAAAAAACAATTTCGTTAGAAAATTGCAGTACGATTTGCAATTTAATTCGAGGGATTTAGAATTAACTATATTATCAATTGTAAACAAAGAATAGTTACTTTTTTTTTTTAACAGACAAATATCTAACTTTTTTTTTCATAATATCTAAAAACATTCTCTCGCGTACTTTCATCTTAGATGATTAAAGCGTTCGCTCCACAATTTATTTTCCTCTCATTCTTCTCAGGCACTCGACGCGGCACAAAGTATATATATTTTTTTCTCCTTTAATTTAGATATTTACAATGTTTTAATTTTAGTTTTTTTTTAAAGTTGACCTACACTCATCTAATGTCAATATTACAACATTCATTTAACGTTTTTTTTAATACCAATTCATTGTGAATCATGAATACTGGACATTTTTCCTATTTTTTTTATTACGACTATTAAGTAGTATTAAAATATTCGCAATAAAACTAATTTAAAAAAGGCATCAAAATTTTTCAACAGTTTCTTTATTTGAGAAAATGAAACAATTTTTTATTTAGTCAGATGGAATTGAAACTATGCCTTTGTTTTTTTAAATTAATAATTAATCTTTATAGATTTGTTAGATTAATTGTTTTCTTTATCCTACAAAGGACGATAGTGTCGATTGTTTTTATTCAAGTTTATAATTAGAAATTCAAGAATTCTTAATTAAACACAAATGGAATGAATTGTAGGTAAAAAATACTTCGTTGACACTCGATGCATTATTTGTTAAATGACTAATGATAAGTTTTTTTTACTCTGTCATTAAATCGTAATTAGAAATTGCATTTTTGAAGTTAATAAAATATTGTATTGATACAATACAACTTTATTCTGTCTGTATTTCTATTCTTGTTTAAATTTTTCGAAAATTTGGTATGCAAACATCTCTGAAAAATATTTTTGAATTATGTTCAAAAACTCAGAGAAATTTGCGACTGCTTTCTTTTTACACTAGCAGAAAACTTGAATTTAAAATAATATACTTAAAAAAATCCTCTACTCGATCTATTTCTCAAAAATTAATTCTTTATTATAACGGAAAAAAAGAAAACTAATCTATAAAGCTTGAAATATTTTTTTAATGTTTAAAACATAATAATATGTTAGGAATACAAAAATTAAATACAAAAAATAAATTAAAATGAATTCTAATACAGTTTTAAACTGAATTAATTAGTGTGAAAAAATTAACAATTTTAAAAATTGTATTTTTTCACAGAAAAATAATTTTTCTTTAGACACTTTTTTGAAATATTGTTAAAAAAAATAGTTGTACTCTACAGTAAGATCCATTTGGCACTGAAAATTATTCTCATCGATCCTTTTTAGGATTAGAAATTCTAAAAAGTTTTTTTTTTTAATAGTAAAAACACGTCTGTGTATATAAAATAGTGAATCAAAAATTGAGATTATCTCCAAAGTAAATTAATATAGTAATAATAATTAAAAGTACAAAAACTATCGAATGACTTTTTTAAGTACATTTTCGTAAACAGAATGAAAGAGATTATGCTTTGATCTTAAGTAAATTGTAAAATAATGTAAAAATACTGGTTTAACCGTATATAAAAAAAATTAATTGGTCCTCCCTATAGGACACGAATAATAATCATTCTGTGACCCATAAATTGCTCATATCATTTTTACTCTTTTCTCACACATTTACACACTAAAAAAAGCACACTATTTTTTTTGCGGAAATTTATATAATATATGGACGTACATTCTCGCCTACAAGCGATCTTTTATTATCAATAATGTTAAAATTTAATTAGCAAAAAAGAAGGAAGAAAAATTCTATATAAAATTCTCAAAAAATACTAGTCTTATTTGCTTTTTGTATAAAAAGTATCAAAAGCTATTTTTTTTTACATAGTTTAGGAATTTTAAAAATTTGATGAAAGTGAAATTTTCTTTTGTCAAAAACTTTATTAAATATGGAAATTATTTCACTTTTCTCTCAAATTTTGTTGACTTGTGTAAAATATTGACTTTTTTGACAGTTTTTAAATAAGTGAAAATGAAAATGTGCGCTCATATTCGTTTAAAATTCAGTCTCAATCAATCTCGCTTTGCACACGGAAAAAAATATTTCTTGATGATTGGTTGGTTCAGGAAAAAAATCTGTTTTTTTGAAATTTTTAACTGTTTAAAATTCTTTTTTTTAATTTTAGAGGTATGATGGGTGAAAATAAAGTTTAGTTTAATAATCAGTAGAAGAAAAATGAAAAAGAACATTTAATGCTAAATGTTAAAGAATGATTTTTAACTAAGCGATTTATGTATAATCATAGGAAATATTTTTTTATCGTGCATTTTGGATGCACGTTGGACGTTACGAGGAAAACCATAGGCCTCTTTTGAAACTCCTGTATTTTGAAGGCAGGAATGCAGGCCTCATATGGAAGCATTTCAGTAGAAAATATATATCTATATTGTACATATATATATATATGTATTATTTAATATATATATGTTATGTATATATATATTATCCGAAGTGTCATCTATCAGCCTATTCTAAAATAGTCCTCTAGATTTGTAGTCCCCTCACCAAAAAAACATTAACATTATCGCAGAATCGCGCATTTAACAGTCGTTTCCCTATGGTCAGGGTTTCTAACAAAAAAAAAATCATTCTCACCTATAATCTAAAACCTGATTCCCGGAGACTTATGGGCCGCGCATAAGTATGGAATCTGAAAATCGCGAAGGAAGAAATAATCGAAGCGTCGTCCTTCGGGTTTTTTTTTATCACATCTGTTAATCTGCTATCGTCTTGAACTCCTACTGTACATCTTATTTCGATTATCAGTTCGGAATTTCCTGCTTAGCATTTAAAATATTGTCCGTTTAAGATTAATTCGACGTTTCAATGGTCCCCACGTAACAACTCCATGAGAAGATTAAACGAACAACCCTCACCCTCGGCACGCTTTGCGCTTAACAATTCCTTTCCCGCTTGGCACGTTCTTTGTAAATCAGGAATCCTGAGTAGTAGTTCGCCAAATTTTGCTGGCATCTCTGGATACCTGGAGATTGTATATTGTTGAAGGGCTTGAAGTGCTTTCTCCTGTGATGCTCTCACTTTTTCTGGTTCTTTCAATTCACTCGTGTCCGATGTTAATAGTACTATCACCTATAAAAAGTTTTTTAATTGTCACTTTAGAATTTAAAATTAGATAATTAACTATAATAACCACTGAGTGTCTATTAACCGGGAATTTAATTTTATTATTTTTAAAATTACTAATTTTTTATTTTAAAAAAGTAAGAAGTTAATAAGAATTGTAGCTATAGTTATACTTTAAAGTAAAAATGTAAATGTTTACCTTCATCGCCACGTATTCGTATTGATCCACCCTCAGTCGCCTGAGATTATTTGTGAAAGTAAGCATTCTCTCGATACAGGTAGCCAAGCCGAGTTGTCTAGCTTGCTCTAGTGTGATTGATTTTCCTAGTGATACTCGTATCTCGCCAGGAGTACTCATACTTCGAAAGCAGCAAGAAAAGAGTAATAACTCACACCAAGAATTGATGAGTAAACAAATTTGATCATCAATCGAGATGTTTTTGAATAATGGCAGACTTTTACACCATTTGACAATTTTGTAGAGTCTATGATCGGCGATATTGCACAGATTTGACAAGAAGTCGGGATGTTGCGTTGGATTACCGTTAGGATTTGAATTGGGTGTAACGGTGGCATTGACATTTGATGATTGTTGATGATCGTGATTATTGGTTATCGGTCCAGTTGAACTGGGCCTCGCGGACTCACCACTGTTTATGTTTCCATTAGTGGCACTCGCTCCGTTTGATGTTCCTCCACCCACTAGGGACTCACCACTACTTGGGGTACTATTCTGACTGCCAACTCTGTCATTATCGTTGTAATGCCACAGATGCTCGACATCCATAATATCTTGTAACAATTGAGGCACTGCCTGCATTTTGTGAGAGTGGTTCGAGTGATGTCGCATTTGATGATGATGCTCCGAACCTGGAGGTGCTGGACTACAGGATCCGCCCGTCATTTTGTCACCAGACATCCCGCCGGCAGGACTACCAATGAGATTCGCTGGCAGTGTGTACGTGCATTGATAGGTACTACGACCACCTCGTGTTCTATCTTCCCTTATTGCTTCCAATTTCATACCCATGTTTAGACACTTATCGAAGCGGCAAGCTGGACATTTCTTTCGCGTTGCCACTGTTACAGGACAACCGACACCCCTTAGGCAGACGTAATTTTTCCGATTCTGAACAGTACGTTTAAAGAAGCCCTTACAGGACTCACAGGAGAAGATGCCGTAGTGAAAACCGCTGATCTTGTCGCCACAAATAGGACAAGGACTGTTGATTAATTGTTGTCTAGTTGAAATCCCAGTGGGTGCGGAGGGTATTCTACAGTCGTCTTGATCTTCTGGGTGACCCTCCGAAGAAATCTCGGAACCTGGCGTTGAATAGTGACCTGTAGACGATGCCGGTAGGTGCATGGGACTACCTTGCGCGACCTGGTGATGATGTTGTGGATGTGCGTGTCTTTGTTGAACTGGCGAATGGGTCGGGGGACTTAGAGATCCGTAACTGTAACAACTACTCGATGCGTCCGAATTGTTTCTCGAGAGAGAGTGAGAGAGAGACAGGGATAGAGAGGAAGTGGAATTGTTGAAACTGTGACGTGACAGAGATAGTGATGATGAAGGTACTGGACTTCCTGGACCTAGTGCCGAGTGTCTAGCCGCATGTGGACTTTGCGTTGGCGAACTGAACACACTATAAGCTGAATGAATCGCAGAATCAGGTGATGGAACCTGGAGGAATAATTTAAATTTAATAAAAGTAAGAAATCGTGTTTCAAAATTAGTAAATCCAATGCTTGTTAACTCTCTGCTGATGCTAATGACTGTTATCGTCAAAAATCGTAATTCTGGACGCCTGGTAGGGTCTATGGAAGTTACGTTCTTTGGCGATAGAGTAGGGATAAGTTAGCATCAGCAGAGGATTAATATAATTTGAAGATTGTTAATTTCGTTGATAATTTAGGTTTTGTAGGCCAATAGGTTATTAGAACTAATTGTTATAGAACTAATTGTTCATTAGGCTCAAAAATTCTTACCTGCGATCTGGTATGACTGTGTTTAGTGAGATGATGTCGGGGATTCAGTACCGGACTATGATTAGGAGTAGAACTGTTGTAACCCCCAAGGAGTTTGCCAACAAGCAATGGAAGATCATTCTGTTGTGTTTGCTCCAGACTCTCCAAACGTTGATGCTGTTGGGCTTGTTGAGCATGAGACAAGGGAAGAACAGTGTCATTCAAACCAATAAGTCCTGGACTAGACCGGAAGTCAGGTTCTGGTTTTATTGGGAATTTTTGTTCCTGTGGTCCAGGACTTGTACTACAAACTTGAACTCCTTCCATTGATGTTTCTTCCAGGTCCTAATGGGAAAAATCAAAATTAGAAATTTATTTTGTTTCTAGACATATATATTTGTCTTTATTTGCCCTTTTTGATAAATTTTGATGGATTTATTTTGTGTTTTGTGTACCTGATTTGTGATGGTGTTGGAAGACATTTCCTGATCTGATAATTCACCTTCCCAGGACATGGGCCTTTCTGGTTGTTGCTGTAAATTGTCATTACAACTTTCGTCGTTGTCGTGCTTCTTTTTTGTGCGCAAATTTACCCCGCGGAAGTCAATTTTACTCACTTCCCCATCGCTGTCCTCTACGTCGTTAACGTTTGTTGATTCTGTGGATCCGATGCTGGTGCCGGAATCAATGACACCGGATCCACAGTTCGATACTACCGATACTGTCACGCCATTCTGTCCACCAAGATACTTGCATACACTTTTACCTGAAATATCAATTAAGATCAGAATCAAAAAGATCAGTACATAATTGTTATCAGTTAACATAGCCCTTAAAGAAATTTTTCTTTCCTTTTTAATGTAAATTCCCTATAGTAAAACCAAATCGTTTTATAACTTTGTTGGGGAGAAAATAAAAACTACACGCTTTAAGGCTAAATATCTTAACTTGCCTTCAACGGACATAAAATTTAATATTTAGACTTTATTATACTTTTATTTAAAAAAGATAATTTTTATTAGTGTTTTTTTCCTAATCGAAATAAATATAACTTTCGTAGAAAGTCTTGATTATGCTTCTGCAGCAGGAGCAGTCAGTTGCTTCGATCAAATAGTTAACGATTTACCGCTAAAGACAAGGCAAGCGAGCAATCAAGACTTTCAATTGGGTTCTATACTGGGTAAGTTTATTACGTTATTAGGAAACGTAACTGGTTAGCTTTAAGATTCAACGCACGCAACTCTCTTGAAAGAAAAGTATATAAAACTATCGATATTGCTTTCGGGCCAGTGAAGCGCGTTGAGGAAGAAAACAGTTAGGATTAGGCAAAGATCTCTAAGACCTTTTACAGAGCATGAAAGTATAATGCCGATGAACGTCAACTTTTAATTGCCCAGTTATGTCGCGTCACTATTCGTCAAAATGCTTAATTATGAATTATTATATTTTAATAAATATTTTCTTAATTCAATACAGAAATTAATGCTTCAAAAAAATTGATATCAATAGTATTGGCGCCATTGGGCCAATAGTTTTTTTTCTCAGCACGTATAAATGTTACAAAAATAGTACAAAGTTTGTAAGGTGCATTTAAGTAAATTACAGTCAACTAAATAATTTAGATTTATGGTTCCGTTTTCAATTCAAAGTAGAAGACATCACTCGAATGTTTGTTTGAAAAGGTGAAGTTTATTTCGTCACAATTGTTCTTTTCCCCTTTGGCAAATGAACGTGCTTGAAAGACCAAACACGTGGACGCGCCATCTAGGCGCCTATATTCCGTAAACAGAATTTTATACTTTTATGAGTTCATGAGGTCAGACCCTTTTTTAACGACTGTAAACTAGAATCGAAAATTTCAAACTTGAAGAAGGAAATTATTCTAAAATTAATTTTAAACGGATAATGAATTATGTTTGTTAAAATAGGGGTTTTAATTTATTATTTTTTTTCTTAACGTATTTTAAGTGATTATTTTTTGTGTTTCAGAATAACAACTTGATGTTTGGTAACTACTTCGACTGTGAGGTAAGCGAATAAGGGTATTATTTTAGTAGACGTATATGAATATAGAAAATAGCCCTTTCTGACCCATGAAGCATACACTTGGTCTGGGGGACCCAAATAGAGAATAAAAAAGGTTTTAAGGGAATTTTGAAGAATTTAAAATTTATAATTTTTGAAATTACCGTCGTGCATCTCGTGGGCCGGTAGCACGTTAATTGTCGTGACGGAGACGTTCTTTCCGGTCTCCGATGTACGTGATGGCATGGCCGACTGTAACTTCCAAGATTGTGCCGGGGGCCACCAGCCCGGGCCCTCCGTGGGCCCATTTTGCTCTGACATTCTCAGCTGGCTGCGATTCGCCGCACGCTGGCAATAATTCGCGCTTTTAGTCGGCAATGCCCCAGGTTGACGACGATGCTCCTCAGCATCCTGAGCGCAGCCTGGCAAGACGATCCTCTCTCGATCCCTTCAAACGATTACAAATCCCGTTCTATGATGCCAAAGGCCCCTCACTACCAAGCTTCGATCTGCAAGTTCAAAAGATAATGCACGTTGAGACATTTCAATACAAAAAGCATTTCTGATAATGATGATGATGATGACTATGTTACTTTTTGAATTCTATACCAGGGGAGAATGAAAGGTTAATTCATTATTGATCACGTTCGTTTTTCTCCTTGAAAGACTATTATTAAAAAAACAATTCTTTTATTTTTACGTTTTGGAAACATTCTTACACTTTTTTTATTTTTTATTTTTTATATAGGTATCAAAAGTGTAAATTACTTTCATTAGTATCAATTTATTATTATAGCAATTGAAAATCTTAGGCCTAATTCATAATTATGATTACCAAAAAATTATTTAGCCTAATTTATAATTACATTTGTCCTTCTCTCTAAATTTGAATTAGTAAATTGTTTACTAATTTCATTAGGTGACTGATTTTTTGCTTTTGAATTAGTAAATTTTGCTAATAAATAGTTATTTCTACTAATTTATTAAGTATAATTATAATTTATTAGTAAAGTTTACTAATTCAAAAGCAAAAAGTCAGTCACTAATATTCAAATTAGTAAACATTTTTACTACAGGGTGTCTAACGGTCAGGGAAGTTAGGGATGTCAGGGAAAAGTCAGGGAATGTCAGAAAATTTCATTGAAAGTCAGGAAAACTTCTAAAAATTTATACAAAAATTAAAATTTTTATGAATAAAAATTTTGTTTAATCTAACAAATCTTAGAAGATTTTTATTATCGTTTGTTTCTATCATTAGATATTAATTTATTGTTAAATATGTCAGTTACCATATTTTTGTCCTAAAAAAGCAGAAATAAAATGCCATAAAAGAGAAGGAAAAATTTTGAATTTTAAAAAATTCGGTTTTTTGAATTTTTCATAATTTTTCATAATTTTAGATTTTTTACCAAAGAGTCGAGACTATTAAATAAGTAAAGTATTTTCCAAGAGCACAAAAATAATGAAGCTAAATCCCATAAAAGAGAGGAAAAAATATTGAATTTTAAGAAATTCAAATTTTGGAATTTTTGATAATTTTTGATAATTTTGGATTTTTTACCAAAGAGTCGAGACTATTAAATAGGTAAAGTATTTTCCAATAGCACAAAAATAATGAAGCTAAATGCCATAAAAGAGGAGAGAAAATGTTAAATTTTAAGAGATTCGGATTTTTGAATTTTTTATAATTTTCTATAATTTTTTATTTTTCACCAAAGAGTCAAGACTATTAAATGAGTAAAGTATTTTCCAAAAGCACAAAAATATTGAAGCTAAATGCCATAAAAGAGAGGAGAAAATGTTGAATTTTAAGAAATTCGGATTTTTGAATTTTTGATAATTTTCTATAATTTTGGATTTTTTATTAAAGAGTCGATACTATTAAATAAGTAAAGTATTTTCCAAGAGCACAAAAATAATGAAGCTAAATGCCATAAAAGAGAGGAGAAAATGTTGAATTTTAAGAAATTCGGATTTTTGAATTTTTGATAATTTTCTATAATTTTTTATTTTTTACCAAAGATTCGAGACTATTAAATGAATAGAGTATTTTCCAAAAGCACAAAAATAGTGAAGCCAAATGCCATAAAAGAGAGGAAAAAATGTTAAATTTAAAGAAATTCAAATTTTTGATAATTTTCGATAATTTTGGATTTTTTACCAAAGAGTCGAGACTATTAAATAAGTAAAGTATTTTCCAAAAGCACAAAAATAGTGAAGCCAAACGCCATGAAAGAGAGGAGAAAATGTTGAATTTTAATAAATTCGGATTTTTGAATTTTTGATAATTTTCTATAATTTTGGATTTTTTATTAAAGAGTCGATACTATTAAATAAGTAAAGTATTTTCCAAGAGCACAAAAATAATGAAGCTAAATGCCATAAAAGAGAGGAGAAAATGTTGAATTTTAAGAAATTCGGATTTTTGAATTTTTGATAATTTTCTATAATTTTTTATTTTTTACCAAAGATTCGAGACTATTAAATGAATAGAGTATTTTCCAAAAGCACAAAAATAGTGAAGCCAAATGCCATAAAAGAGAGGAAAAAATGTTAAATTTAAAGAAATTCAAATTTTTGATAATTTTCGATAATTTTGGATTTTTTACCAAAGAGTCGAGACTATTAAATAAGTAAAGTATTTTCCAAAAGCACAAAAATAGTGAAGCCAAACGCCATGAAAGAGAGGAGAAAATGTTGAATTTTAATAAATTCGGATTTTTGAATTTTTGATAATTTTCTATAATTTTGGATTTTTTATTAAAGAGTCGATACTATTAAATAAGTAAAGTATTTTCCAAGAGCACAAAAATAATGAAGCTAAATGCCATAAAAGAGAGGAGAAAATGTTGAATTTTAAGAAATTCGGATTTTTGAATTTTTGATAATTTTCTATAATTTTTTATTTTTTACCAAAGATTCGAGACTATTAAATGAATAGAGTATATTCCAAAAGCACAAAAATAGTGAAGCCAAATGCCATAAAAGAGAGGAAAAAATGTTAAATTTAAAGAAATTCAAATTTTTGATAATTTTCGATAATTTTGGATTTTTTACCAAAGAGTCGAGACTATTAAATAAGTAAAGTATTTTCCAAAAGCACAAAAATAGTGAAGCCAAACGCCATGAAAGAGAGGAGAAAATGTTGAATTTTAATAAATTCGGATTTTTGAATTTTTGATAATTTTCTATAATTTTTTATTTTTTACCAAAGAGTTGAGACTATTAAATAGGTAAAGTATTTTCCAAAAGCACAAAAATAGTGAAGCCAAACGCCATAAAATAGAGGAGAAAATGTTGAATTTTAAGAAATTCGGATTTTTGAATTTTTTATAATTTGTATAATTTTTTATTTTTCACCAAAGAGTCGAGACTATTAAATGAATAGAGTATTTTCCAAAAGCACAAAAATAGTGAAGCCAAATGCCATAAAAGAGAGGAAAAAATGTTAAATTTAAAGAAATTCAAATTTTTGATAATTTTCGATAATTTTGGATTTCTTACCAAAGAGTCGAGACTATTAAATAAGTAAAGTGTTTTTCAAGAGCCCAATAATATTAAAGCTAAATGCCATGAAGGAAAAGAAAGAATGTTGAATTTTAAAAAATTCGGTTTTTTGAATTTTTGATAATTTTTAAAAAATTTAAATTTTTTACCAATGAGTGGAGACTATTAAATAAGTAAAGTGAGGTTATGTAATTTTTTCCAGTTATAAATCAATTGGAATGAAATTATTTACGAGAAATATCATCTAGTTTACACCTTTCTTGAGAAAATTACTGTATACTTTGTTGCAATTGATTTATCCATCATCTTCTTCTGTACATAATGGATGGAATGTTTCTTCCATTATATTATTAGGGAAAAAAACAAGTTTACTATTACCAATAAGTGTTATTTACTGTTTCTCTGAATCACACTTCACTTGGCAATGATGATGATGGGATTAAAACATTTTTACTGATTACTGATAACGGCGAGGATAATCAAGTATGACATACAGTGAAAATTTTCCTTATTATTACTGCCATATAATTTTGCAGCTAAAACTACCGTTTGCATTTGGTATGTAGGAGCCATAAATTTTTATTAGCCATACGAATATTGTTAAATTGGTCATTTGCAGGTTTAATGACTGTATGAAGTTGGCGTCGATCTAAAGAGAAACGATTTTCGGAAAATCGAGAAGGATTCAAAAAGTCTTTGAAGTTAGAGTTGACGCTTAGTGTAGAAAATTATTATTTGGGGCTTTTTAGAGATGAAAATGTGATGTTATGGTTATAAAAAATTTTATTTATAGTTTTAAGTAATTAATTTCAGTAGATTCAGTAATTGCTCCGTAAATGGTCCTTAATTTTTCAATTTGTGGTCCGTAAAGTCCTTATTTTTAAATACTTTCTCATTGGTTCAAGCCCTGATATTAACTGATGAAAAATTATGGTAAAGTTGAAATAAAAACATTAAGAAAAAAACATTAAGTTGATTTCACGTTTAAGAATGTTGTCTTCTGTACGCAATATTGACAGTGAGTATCATCATCATCATCATCATTATTATCATGAATGAAAGGTACAATGCATTGAAAGTTTAAGTCTTTCCCATAAGCAATTTCGTGTATGTGTATGAATTATTTGCAAAATTTATTAAACATCTGATATTAGAGAAAACGTTCATGTAATTATATTTTCACTCGTAAAGAGATGCTGCGGTGGTATTTTAATGAAGTTAAATCTGATTATTAATACCATACGTTAAATCCACGATTACGAAACACATTAAACGGTGTAAAATAATTTAGAACAAAGTAAACAAAAGGGATTTACTTCCTTCATTCGATTATTTATTCCCACAGTTTTCTTGAAAGAATCAAATTTTGATACTAAAGTGAATTAAAATTGATGTTGAAAATTTGGATCAATTTTTGGTTTGATCCACATTTTTGGTTGCAATATGGTACTTTTAAGTTAACAGTACCTTTAAAAGAAGAGTAAATTTTATTAATTATTTATTGAAAATAAGTCCCTACGGCTTAAAATAATATATATAAAACTTGTCTAGTTTTAGTAAAAACTAAAAGGAGTCAATGTTAGTTAATAATAACATTGCTCCAGTATATAGTAATAGAAGTATATTTATTTATCACGAGGAAAAAGTAAATAAATTACTCTACATTCATAAAAACTAAAATATTTGACATTTCTACTCATTTCTGCCTCAACTTTTACTACTACCGGGTGTAAATTTTTGCAATTCATTTGATATAAATTCTAGTCAGAAAAAATGACTTTTGAATGTCTGTAAAATTTATGTTTTATAAAGAGAAAGTATAAGAAGAAATAGTCATAGTTATTATATTTCAAATGTGTAGGAAAAAAATCGTTTAGCGTATTGAAGAAAAAGAAAAATTGACTCGAAGGGGAATTCGAAGGGAAATGTAACTCTTAAACCTTTTGCCAATGTACTTTAAAAGAGCGGAATGCGTAAATATCTAAAGACCTCGCGTTTCTCC